CAAAATCATGTCATATTTTCCTTTCTGACATCTCTAAAACTCATCTATTCCCATTGGTTTCCAATAGCTAAAATTCATTCCCATATTTTGGCCCTCTTTTTCTTCTACTCCTTATAAGTATGTCCATTGTGGTCTCTATTCTTGAGTTCTATCTCTGTTGAAGTCATCTCCTTGGTGCCTTCATTATGACATTCTTTGCAAATGCCTTCACTGATTTCTCTCATCTGCATTAAATCTGGATGTTAGGGACCTTCACTGCTCTTCATTGCCTAATTATTTTTCCTCTGCTGGTCTCCTATATTTCTTCTTAATGTGTTCTTTTTATTTCTCTCATTTACTTTTTGTTTTCTTAGGCAATTTTCAAGTTGTTTCCTTCCCAGCCATGAACATTTTCTTTCCTTTTTACATGCCAAACCCAACCGCAAACAAGTTGTATCCAGAAACTCCTCTCTAATTTCTCTCATGGCTTTCTTCTCACATTTGCTAATGTCTCCCTCTTCATGATAATGGTCTTTTCTTTATCAAGTGATGCTATGGGTATGCTAGTATAATACAGTGTATCTATACACTCTTTTGATAAAGGCAAATCTATTATTTATTAAGGAAGGTCTTTGCTATTAGTTGATTTAAGTCTATTCTCTTGCCTCCATGGCCATTGCCTTGTGTAGGGTTGACTATTGCAATGACCTCCCACTTCTCACTGCCTCAGTTCTCTCTCCCAGCTATTTCACACTTCACAGTGTTCTCAGAGATGTCTTTCTGATGCCTTCCTCTTCTTTTTAAAAAAATTCTCACCCAAGGATATGTTTTTATTGATTTTGAGAGAAAAGGAGGAAGGGAGAGGGAGATAGAGAGGGAGAGAAGAAGAGAGGGAGAGAGAGGGAGCGATTGGTATGAGAGAAACCTCAACCAGTTGCCTCCCACATGCTTCCTGTCTGGGAACCAAATCCCCAACCTTTTGGTGTATTGGACAATACCACAACCAACTGAGCTACCTGGCCAGAGCACCTTCCTGTTCTTAAAATAAAATAACAGAGCTTTTGCTTTCCCTGACTTGTAGACTAATATTTATCTTCTTTAGTGCAACAAGTATCTTCCTCATCATTCCAGACTCACTCTGTCACGTTCTTACCCCAGTCCTAAATTCCAGTCGCATAGAACTGCTTGGGGAGGTGTTTTACTATATACAGAGGTCAAGAGTGACTTCTACAGGCCCAATCTAGTTTGTACAATTCTTTGCCATTTTTTAAAAACTGAAAGATTTCATGTAAAAATCTGTTTTTCTAGTTTATTTCAGAAAATATGGCAATACTGCACCATGTCCCCACTTGATAACAGAGGGTTGGCATTGAATGGTGGCTGCCCCTTTAGATTAAGTGGGCTCTTCTCCAATTTGCCACAGTTTCTGCCACACCCATTTGTATCCCCAACATTGAAGCAAAGTATCATTTGCTATTTATCATTGCTCTTGTGCTTTGTTTGGCCTTATAGTATTAAGAGAAAATTATACCCCATTTCATAGATAAAGAAAAGATGGGAAGTTGCTGTTTTGCATTTCAGGAAATATATGGGGCCCACTTCATGCTTTCATACTCCTGGCCCCTGTAGGTATCTGAGTTTGGATCTCTGACAAAGTGGCTTAACACTAAGGGTCTGTGTTCAAATCCTGACCCCATCACTTACTAGCAATGTGGCTTTGGGAAAGTTATTTAAGCATTCTCTCTGCCTCACTTTTCATTTCTGTAAATTGGGAGTGACAATAGTGTGTACCTCACAGAGTTTTTATGAGATGATCTTTGTAGAGAATTTAGTAAAGGGATAGGAACATAGAAAACATTAAATAAATCTTAGCTACATTTTTATCACTATTACTATTATTCTGCCAAATCTAATGGTGGGAATATCAGATCCATGAAGGGCATGGTTTTGGGCAGAGTCTTTAGGCACCTATTTAACCATACCTCTCTAGCTTTCAATTTTGCCACTTACTAGCTATGAGCTTGGTCAAGTTATTTAATCTCACTATGTTTTCATTTTACCATCTGTAAAAATATTAATGATAAGACTTACTAGTAAAACACTAGTATCTGCATCTTTGGTTATGATGTATCATCTGAGATAACCATGTATACTGTGTGTAGTATGGGTGTCTGCCACATAGTAAATAGGCAGTAGATGGTAGCTATTATTGTCACCAGCTGTCCTGGCAAAATTTTGCCTCTGTTGAGGACTCAGGAGCCAGGTCACCCCCCCGTATGTGCTATGTGGTGCTTGCACATTGATACAGGCTTTTCAAAAATTGAGATATAACTCACATACCATGAAATTCACCCTCTTAGAATGTACAATACAGTGGTTTTTAACATATTCACAAAGTTGTGCAATCATCACAACTATCTAATTCCAGAACATTTCTGTCATTCCTCCAAAAGACTCTTTAGCTGTCATCTCTCAGATCTACCCTCCAGCCCTTGGCAACCGCTAATCTGCTTTCTGTTTCTATGGATTTGCCTATTCTAGACATTTTATATAAATAGAATCATATAATAGATAGCTATACATGGGCTTTAGCCTGTTTCCCTGAAGAATAAAGCTGCACTCTTTTCCAGAAAACAAATTCCTACTGGGAAGATGAAGGAGGCCCTACGTAGGAAATAAAAAGTAGGAAGCTAGCATCGGCCAAGATTGACCTCAGAGGAACAAAACCAAACAGACCTGGGTTTCAGGGGCCAAGTTGAGTAGCCGGGAATGCTGAGGGGCTGCAAACCATGAATATACAATACAACATCTTAATTCCTGTGGATTTTTCTCAGCTCAGCCTTAAAAAATACTATAAGAATCTTAAAAGTCCATTTGTGGATTCACCTGGAGTTGGTTAAAAATACAGGTTCTGTGCTCTTCCTCGGGCTCACTGAATCAGCATCTCGGGGCGGTAGGATCTGCTACAAGATTCTGCCAGGCAATGGGTATGGAAATCATTTAATTGCATGGGACATGCCTGTATGACACTGAGCTGTGGTGTTGTGTTCCATCTTCAAGGACACTGCTCTGTCATGTTGATACTCTTCTTTAGTATACATGTCTAATCTCCCTAATAGATTGTTTACAACCAGGCCTTACTTTGCTTTGTCCATCTCAGCCCTGGGTACAGTCTTACTCAAAGTAGGGGCTCAGCACTGTGTTGGAAGATTGATTATACAGGAACCTGGAGGGTATTGCTGGGATATTGCTAGCCACAAAGTCATTAAGGTCAACAGGGCCTAAGAGGAAATCTTTCTTGTGCATTTTAATCATTCTTTGTTTGAGGCTCTGGTTTGCCTTCAGGGATCTGACTTGTGCACCAATGGTCACAGCCTTTTGATCTTTAGGCTCCAGTAGATGTTCCAAGCAGTCCCTCAGGGGGACCTTCAACTGGCTGCATGGTGCTGATAGGTAGAGGAACAACACGTGAAGCACGTAGGGGTGGTTCCTACACTCACTGATCAGAATCCCCTAGGGAATGAGCTAACATTCCTGCGTCTCCCTGGACTTAATGAGCCAGATTGTTGTCCAGAAAGGGGAAATCGTTACTCATACTACCCAAATACTGCTCTTAGACCCACTGAACCAGATTGTTGTCTAGAAATGGAAATTACTACTCAGATACTACCCAAATACCGCTCTAGAGTTTGAAGAACATGATCTTCCTGTCTGTGTCTGGAGCAAAGACAATGTGTTGTGCTCATGGGGACTTACCTGGGCAGGGCTGTGGACTGGGATTTGGGAGACCTAGGCTCAGTCTTGGCCTTACATTTTAGTCAGTCCCAGTGTTTCACTAGGTAGGCCACTCGCTTTTCAGTCTGCTTCTTTGTAAAGTGAGAGATTTGGAACAGGGTTAGATACTGGAATGCAGACAAGATCACTGATATCTGTAGGTGCCTTTTCTACAGGCTCACATGTAGAGGCTCCTCCTTTTTGGGTGCTCTGAGGATATAACTACTATCTCAGTCCCAAGTTAGCAGCTTTGTAATGTCATTGGAGGCAAAGTTGCTGAAGCCCACTGTTCAGAGGTTTGGTAGTTGGTGTGGATTGGTCATGAGATTAAACAAGCATGGGAAGCCCCTCCTCTTTCCTTGCTCACTTAACCCCTCCTCTCTCTTCTTCCCATATTCCAGTAGTTAAAGAGTTTCATGTATATGAGCTCCATTTTTAAATTGCAAATATCCCATGGGCATGTTAAAGCCACCAACTGTTAATACTCTAGGATTTGAGTAAATCTAGCTATTGGAAGACTTTCAGTTTAACTGGTATTCTGAATTAAAGAAACTTGAGTGGGTGGATAACAACACATGTACACTGGGTTCCTGGAGCCTGAGGAAAGGACAGAGGGCACATCAAGGAAGGGGGTGGAAGCCAGTCACTGATTTGGTGGTTTCGCCTGGCACCTTGGCAATGGTGCTATAACACATTTCCCATGGTGCTTTTGGAAGAAATGCCCTAAACTAGTGAGGCTTCATCTGGACCATTGTGTTATTTTGTTAATGACTTTAGGAAACAGTCATTTTGGTCGCCCAGGAACTGGGTAAGGCATGGGTCACTGTGCTTTTAACATTTCATAGGATCTTAAATCCATGTTTTTCTCCAAAAGTAATTATTTACTTAGCTCCCACTCAGGCCAGCCCTGTGAAGCACTGTGAGGAAGCAGAGGCTGTTTTGGGATGGTCTTTCCTTTTCTCCCTGGCCCACTCATTTTACATCTTTTCTGCATGCAGATTTAATTGTATGCAATTACAATTACACCTTTTTTCTCTTTCTTTGGGACAGCAAAGCAAATGCAGGAGTGGGGAATCCTCAGGCATGCTTTCTGTGTTCCCAAGTCTCCACTGCATTGTCTGGAAAACCACAGACTTCGTGTAGATGCCAATGAATCCGTCATCGAGTTTTCTTTAAGCCGCGTATTTACCAAGATCCTCACTTGAGCCATGGCTTAACTTTATAATCTTTGATTTATAATTTTACAGTTGCTGAGACAGAAAGAAAACCCACTCCTTTGGAGGAGCATGGCCTTTTCCTATATTGCTTCGCACGGCTGCCACTGAGCTTCTTGAAACCTGGCCCCTGGACACCATCAGCAAGAAGACCTCGGGGATGGGCTACCTACCCCTGAGAAAAGAACAGCAACTGCAGTTTCAACTAAATTGCCTTCTTCATTCAAGTAATGGCTGCCAATGGGGTCAGATTAAAGACAGACCAGCTGAACAACTGCTTGGAGAACTAACTGATAAGGGCACGGAAATGTCCATAGTGCGCTAACACATCCATGGAATACAGAGATGGAAATAATACCAGCACTTCTTTTAGGGCTGGAAGGAATGGTTTAATGAATTCCTTAGGGGTGGGAAGAAGGGAGTAATAAGAATATAGAGGAGAGTGGGGATGATTTACTGCAGGGCTCCTGTTTTTTCCTACTGGGATATAAAAATTGGGAGCCCCAGCTGGACTGTTTGTAACCATGGCGGTAGGCAGACTACCTTAGTGGTCCTTCTGCTTGGTTCTCCCCCATGCAGAGCTCAGCAGGTCCTCTAGCAAAGACCCAGTAAGTAGTGGTTTGAAGGAGACCAATTTATTAGCCTACATGTCTCTGTTCTGCACTCCAGGATTTGAAAATGAAGAGTCATAAACTTCCTATATTTCAGTTCTAGGATGTTAGCCCTTAATGTCTTTTCATTCACTTGGGGGTGAGAGTTGTTAACAGAGAAGATCAAGTCAAATGAAGCTTGAACTCTTTGCCGAAGGGTTGGGAGATCAGACCCTGTGTTGAATTAATTAGATCGTTGGCGACACCATGTAGAGTTTGGCTTAAGAGTGATATTGCTGGCTATTTGTAAATGAGGACATCAAGAAATGTTCTTGGAATCTTGAATTATGAAACTGGTAGTCATGTTCAATAATTCAACAAGTAGTTAAATAACAGCTGGACACTGTGGAGACCTAGGAGCAAGATAGACAAGGTTCCTATCTCATGAAACTTACATTTTTGCTTTCTCTTAAATGTGAAGAGCAGTGGCCACAGCAAACAAGTGGCCAGAAATATATTTTTGAGCCCCGGTTTCCAATTAGTCATGCCTAGAAGCCATGCTATTATAAGACATATAAGCTGCATTCTAGTAATGCTCTGTGAACCAGCGTGGACTGTTTCCCTAGCAAGCAGTATAAAGTCTCATGGTGTCAAGGGAAGGGGCTCAGGTTAGGAAAATGCTCCTGGGGAGGGAAATAAGAAGGGACAGAATTCACAGACCAGCTATCATGTTTTATGTAGGAAAACTGCAGTGTGAGAAATGTTGGGCTGGAAAATTTGAGACCCAGGTTTTAGTCTTTATTCTAATGCTAACAAGCTATGTGATTGTGGGCAAGTCACATCACAATCCACTAAGAGGCTTCTTGGGTGACTCCAAGACCCCTTCAAGCTCTAAAAATGTTAACACCAGGCCCCAGACTACTGGACAATTTGTGGTTGCCAACTGTTTCTAACTCCTGTTCCTAAGCTGCCAGGTCAAGTAGATCTGCACTTGACAGGCTTTTTTTTTTTTTTTTTTTTTGGCTGTTTATTAACCTTGTAGGATATAATGAGTCTGCCTTTCCCCTTTGGAGTTGAGAAGGTTCTAATCTAAAACATACCCTGTAGAGCCCATAGCAGCTTCATTCCCTCCTTCATCCTTTCTTCTACCCCTGCCTTTCTTCCTCTCCTTTCCTTCATCACATTTCTACTAAGCATATACCATGTGCTCTGTACCAGGTGTATGATAGGTTTGCAGATCCAAGGAAACCTGACATTTTCCTATACTCCAGAAGCTTTCATAGGAGAGGGGACACAATCCTTCTTCCTTTCACTTGCTGGCCTTCCTTTCAGTGAGAATCAGCCATGACCCAAGGGGGTGAGCTGGTGGTACTCCCAGGGTAATGAGCTACAGACGGATGCCTCATTCCACTCAAACTATTTTGAGATGCCTTAGGCCCAGGGTCACCATGAAGAGATCTAGGTCCAGATAAAAGGAAGAGACAGTCTTTTACTTCTAGGGATATACATCTGTGGAGGGACAGTCTTCCATACAGTGATGGCTACTCTCTATCCCATCTCCTGCACCCCATTTCTGCCCAGGTGGGGAGAATCTAAACTTAAAAAAACCCCTCTCAATAAATAAACATCTTTCATACATATTGTGCTTCATGTATCCATTATGGCTGGTGGCCTCTTTAAAATGAAAAAACCCCCAACAGTAATCAGACAAAAAGATATTGCTATCAATTCTTACCCCAACGTGAATCCCATGTAAACGACTTCTCATTTTTGTTTCTTCCATCATTAACAATTCTATTTGACATATATCTCTAAGTGCAGCAAGTTTATAGAAAAATAAATCTATGAAATCTCTTAATTATAATTGCTAACACAAACTGTTTGGTTTGAGAATTTTACCCTGGGAAATAGTTTTAGAGACTTCAATGGCTGGCTTAAATGGTGGAATTAATTACTTTTGACTCTCAATTTCACTTCCCATTTGAGGTCAAGGAGTGTATGGATACCTCTGGTTAATGCCTATAACTCTCCATAGCCAACAGCTTTAATTTTCTCTTTTGCTTTCATTCTTTGCACATGTGCAACATTAATAAATGGATTGATTAGTGCTTCATCTCTTCTCCTGGTCCTTACTTTCCTTCTTGTAAATATGCTAAAAATAGTGTAAAGTTCATAAGATTGGATGGCTGCCAGGACTTAGGAGAGAAACAAAGGGCCTAGTAACTCAAATAAATGAAAAATTGATCCCAGAATAAATGACAGCATATTCAAATACCTTAGTGCAGTGTTACTCCCATTAAGCAGAAACAGTATCAGTAAATCTATATGACTCTAAACATTGCAATGAAAAGGGAACTTTTTTTTCTTACGTGCTGAAGGAGCTGCAGCAGAAGAGGGAACGTTGTCAACCATCTCGTATTTCCAAATATCTGGACATTGGCCATTGTGAAGACAGAGGACAGATGATGGACTGGCCTTCCCACCTCTGCTTTGCATAGTCAAGTCCTGCAGCTCCAGCCATCGACTCAAGGCGATTTACATTTGTTTTCTCCGTCCCTCTTGAGAGAAAACAAAAATCTCATTTTTCAAAGCAATTAAAACTCTTCTGCTTCAGCTCGGGTGAAAGAGTTAGGAGTCCTGTCTCCTTGTATATAATTGCATGTTTCATCTTTCTTGTTTTACTGATTGACAGAAAACTGATAAACGAAGACATCTCTGAATCAGGGATGGATGTGCTCTCTTGGTGCCCCCACTGCTAATTTGTTTGACTATTTTGCAATTTCTTACTCTGTAATGGAAAGATTTATTAAATATGAGGGGCACAAAGCTTTCTGAATACTAATGAACTTATTAGCCAAAATTTAAATGTTCTTTCTTGTCATGAATGCCTGTCTCACTTAACAGGATCCAAATTGAATAATGAAGAAAATTAGACTATATCATACCCTCCAGAGAAATTGTGTGTGAATTATAATAGTGAGGGGGAAAAGGGTCATATTGTAGAAAAAAAGGGTCCCATATGAAAGGATTAACGCAGAGGAACCTGATTCTTTTCAAAGAAACATAGTGGGCTTTCCCACTGTACAGGCAATGTAAAACTTTGGCTAGCTTAGAATGAGAGTACAGTCATAATCACATGAAAATGAATGTTAGGTTTTAGTGGTTTCAATTTACTAAAATTTTTCTGGTGTAAGACATCATATACCTATGATGGAATAGGAAAATCAATAAGCTTTGAAAAGTGAACATAGAACTCCAGAGAAAGACAATAGGCAGCTAGTTCAAGTTTGAGAAATTACCCCAATTTTTCCTTTAATCATGGCGTAGTAATGAGCTGTCCCTGGGTCAACGTGTTTACCTCGATTGCCTTGGTGTCATCACTAACAAAGTCGGTGATCATGATGCTTTGCCTTTGCCAGCACCACGATGCCAACATTTCCTTTGCCCACAATGAAGGGCACTGTGGGAACAAGAAGGCCACCCTCTTGACCTGGGAGACACGCTGAGAATTGCAGCAGCCACACAAACTGCTGAACTTGGTCAGGGCCAGAAATAGAGTGTATGTGTGGAGTAAAAGTGATGGTGGGCAAGCGAGGGAGAATACAAAGGTGAGACAGCAAAAATGGGAATTGGTCCCTATCAATTGAACTAGGAAGGCATCATTGGAAAGAGATGAGATGAGGAAGGATCCTAACATAGACAAAATAAAGGGAAGTGTCTCTAGAGATGCTAAAATCATTTATCCTGAGATTTCAGGAGGAGGAAAGGAAGATCAAAAGAAAAGAAAGAAGGTCCTGAAGCCCGCGGAGTTTCCAAAACAAAACACAAACAAAACATTAAAAAAACAACCATCATGCTCTTCTAGGAAAAGAGGCTGAGCATTGCCAGAAAGTTTGATGGCAGCAAGATTTGCATTTAGGGATTTACTTTAAATCCCTGAGAGAAAAGGTTCAAATGACATAAATTCATAGTGTCTACTATGTGTTTTTGGCCATGGCTCAGTTGCTAAAGGAAGGAAGAATGTACACCATCCAACTGTGAAGTCTTTCACTTGAGATTTGTATCCCAAATTAACTAGAAGAAAGACCTCGTATATTTGATTGCCTCTGTGGGAAGACTTGAGAATGATGATTTCCCCCTTGGAATGAAAATTGCTATTAAATATTAACTGACAGTTGTCAAAGAGGAGGAGAGGGGTGACTGGATGAAAGAAAGGGAAGGGATTAGCTAAATAACATATATGCCTGACACACAGACACAGACAACAGTGTGATCATACCCAGAGGGAAGGGGGTGTGGGGGCTGGATGGAGGTGGGCAAATAGTGTCAATAATAAAAATAAAATAAAAAAACCTAAGTAAATAAATAAGAAGAGAGTCTGGGGACATTAAGATTCATCACCATTTCAAACCATGCCTGCACCTTCAGAAAAAAAAAAAGGACTTGGAACTCCGAAAGCAGAAGAGGGGGGAGAGATGACTTATGGATTGGGGACAAGGAAGGGGGAACAAATGCCACAAACCAAATAAGACTACACAGTTTGTGAGAAAATTAAATGAACAACAGAGTTGGAAGGATAATGAGGGTAATGAGAAATATGAGATAATAAGACATTTAAAAATAGGAAATTACTAGGGAAAGGGAGGATGAATGATGAATTACATGGGCGATGATTAAGGCTAGGAAGCGGGGAGGTAATGGGGATGGAAAGCAAAATATGACTAATGCCTGTAAGAGGCAAGTCTGAACTCCTGGTAGAATGTCTCCCAACCTTTGGAAAATGTGTACAACCTAGAAATAAAGAAAGACAAGATGAAAAGAGTTCATGGTCAACATGAAATTGCGAGGACAACAGAGGAAGCAGTAAGTCTTCAGGAAGGAAAGCATTTCTAGAGAAATGCATTAGTCTATGTTCTCCATTCATCTGTGAATAAAACTGTCCTCCTCTCCCCTTTACAAAAGGCCAAATTATAAAATGCACACTATGAAAGGAAAGAAAGCTAATAGGCACTATTGGGGGGAGTTGAAGAAGAGATTGCATCTAGAACCACTGAAGTGGGGACTAAACAAGCAAATCTGTCCATAGCCTTTTCTATGAAAATGTTGAAATTCAGCCTCTTACTGAAAGAACTGGAGAAAATTTATCCAAATGGAAATGTGGGCAGTGATGGGGGGGGGGTAGTTTTAACTGTAGTAAATATTTTAGAATGTATTCCCTCAACCTTTTTTCCTCATAAAAATGAGTGAGTTAAAAAGCTTCTGAGTATTGCTTTAAGCACTTGGATGAGAGGATTGATAGCAATGTAACATATATATTCCTAGTAGTAGAAATAAGATTGATTTTTCAAGATGATTAATGTCTGGAACGGGTCTAAATGCCCGTGATTATCCTTGTGCTTTCGTGTGTTCATGCAGGGGAATCCTTTCAGCCAGACAGGACCAGACCCCCTTCGGAGGGAAGCTGATAAAGTAATTTAGGTGGAAAGGCTTAATGAGATAATGATGCTAAGGCCAGTTAACACCTAATAATAACATAACCACCAGGGATGATATTGTTGCTTATTAATTATAATGATGATGTGGAGGAAAGAGACAAGGTGGCACTCATTTAGCGGAGAGCACTCAGGAGTAAAGCTGTTTTCCCAAAGGGCAAGTTGCAGTCAGTTAGAGTTAGAAGTAGGGTGACATTTAGCAGAGATGGAGATTTATGACCACTGGGTTATACTGGGACCACAGAGCTGCAGGCCAAGTGGGAGGCAACAGATGCCTTCCGGATGGTAGCCAGGGCTGGAATGGAGACCGCTGTGGTTGCAGGGCTGGGCCGTGTATGGAGACTTCAGGCTGAGTTTTTGGCGCAGTCCGCGTGCCTTCGATTCCACAGTGGTCATTCGTGGGCAGACGGGCAGGTGTCCAGAACTGGACTGGGTGTGCTTCCAGTTCTGTGACCTCCCCTCTACTCCACTTGGTCCTGTGAATCAGACTTGTAGTCCAGCTCTTCAATCAGGGTCGGTGCCCTGCCCTGTGGTGGGAGCCCAGAAGATCCTTGGGTCCTGTTTTTAAGAGGCACAGCTCTAGCCTTCATTTGCTGACTTGAGGGTAAGGTTTCATGGTGTTAGTCACCACCCTCATTCTGCTTCCTGAATTCCATGTGGGCCCGGGCACATCCATGTTCACCAGGGCAGGGGAATGGCAATATCAGTCCACTGCAGATACACGAATGTCTGTATTAGTTACGTGGACAGGAGTCAAGAATTACAGGGAGTAGCCGTGTAAAAATACATGGAGCTTTTGGAAAATTTGTGAGTCCTTAAGGGAGGCATAGATGCTTAAAACTCAGGACCAGTCTGGGGAAACGGATTTGGGACACAGTAAGAAATATGAAATTCACCACCTTTTCCCTCACCGTGTGGGTCTCTATCTGCACCCTAGAATCCAGGCTGTCAGGCATCGTCCCTGTGTCTTTGGCTGCCTTCTCTGCCACGATAGGGGATATTTTCTATCCCTTTCTGTGCCAATTATTTTATTAGCTGGATGAGGGCCATCTCGCAGGATTTTTCTTGTCTTCTGTGATGATGTCAATGATTTTCCCATAGAAAGGAAATAACATTCTCTATATAGACTTTTTGCAGTGGTTCTCAACCTGTGGGCCGCGACCATCGGAAAACACATATAGCATATCAGATATTTACATTACGATTAATAACAGTAGCAAAATTAGTTATGAAGTAGCAACGAAAATAATTTTATGGTTGGGGGTCACCACAACATGAGGACCTGTATTAAAGGGTTGCGGCATTAGGAAGGTTGAGAACCACTGTAAGGAAGTATATTTACTTTTATTATTTTTATATTTTTATTATTTTTTAAAAATATATTTTTATTGATTTCAGAGAGGAAGGAGAAGGAGAGAGATAGAAACATCAATGATGAGAATAATTGATTGGCTGTCTCCTGCACGCCCCCTACTGGGGATTGGAGTTGGGCCCACAACCCAGGCATGTGCCCTTGACTGGAATCGAACCTGGGACCCTTCAGTATGCAGGCCGATGCCCTATCCACTGAGCCAAACCAGCTAGGGCAGAAGTATATTTACTTTTATTAACTGTGTGGTTTGAGAGAAGCAAGAACTAAAATGTGCTGAACTGGAGACAGAAGATATGGCTCTAGTGCTGATCCTTGTACATATCTTCCCTGCAACTTTGAGTAAATATCTTGCCTTTCTGAGCCTCAGTTTCCCCATCCATAAAATTAAGATTTTTTTAAAGGTAATCTTTGTGGTATTTACAGTCTTAAAAATCTATATTTAAGCATATATATTCACAAGGATTCTACATTTATTAATCATTTAGGAGACAAATAATTGGTAAATTCATAGGATGACAAATATTGCCTTAAATCCATGGTTCAGAATGGATCATTAAGGTCAGGGTTACCAATGAACCAAAGGCAAAACTATTGAGCACTAAGTGGCAGACACAGAGCAACCTTAAGGGCAGGTGCTTTACAGGTGAGGAAACTGAAACTTTAAAAGGTGAAGTAAGTTATATAAGATAATATATTTAGTTAATAAGGGGATGGAGCCAACATTTAAACCCAGATCTCCCTGAAACCAAAGCCCTTAACTTTAATCTCCCACTATTTAGAACTCAACACTTATGTCCCTTACTTGATGGCACCAGCCACCAAAGTTTTCTTTAGTCATGATTCTCAGCTGGTGATGGAAGAAAGGAGCAAGGCAAGGAGTAGTTTAAAAAATCTTTCCAGTTATTCTGATACACAGACCTCTCTGCCTCACTGTGAGGCATCACGTGGCCAGTGTCACACTAACATGATTACAAAGACGGTACCTGCCTGGAGTACTCTCTGCCATGCACGGATTTTCATTTCTGCTTCTCTCAGTATGGCTCTGGAGGAGGCAGGGGCATCAGACACTGTCTTTCTAGTGGGAAATTGAAGCAAAAGGAATTGAGTAATGAAACATCATGTACCCAGAGGTCACAGAATTGACACGGGGACCCCACCTTAAGACTCCAGCCACCACAAAATATAAACTTTCTAGCCAATTCAATTAATAATGCATTGTGTACATAGAGGGGAAAACTTCACTCCCCCCGCCCCTTGGAGTTTCCTAATAGATTTATCATTCCAGCGACATGAATTTATTCAGAGTACCTGTATAACCAGCCATTGCCAAACACCAAATGGAGGAGAATGGTTTCTTAAACAGATATTTTCATGAACCAAACAATGGCTTTCTAGACTTTCAATAATTGGTCTCAGAAAATGCTTCATCAAGATTGTTAAGAGGGTTTAGGTACTGAAAACAGAGAGGGGCTAGCTCTTCATTGTTCATATCTTTGAAAGTAATAAAAAGAATTCCTTTTAAAAAATAAGAATATCAGCACTTAGAATTTCAAATTGCTATTTATTTATTTATTTTCATTACTGGAGGATATGTGTTTTTTGTTTGTTTTTATGAGAGAGAGAGAGAGAGAGACATCGATCGGTTGCCTCCCATATGCAGCCCCACTAGGGATCAAACCCACAGCCTAGGTATGTGCCCTGACAGGGAATCAAACCTGCAATCAAACCTGCAAACATTTGGTGCCTGGGGTGATGCTCCAACCATCTGAGCCACCCAGCCAGGGCTCAATAATTTATTTTAATGCCAACAAACAAGGCCCCAAACTTAGTCTTAATCCATACTTCTTTACAATCTAAAATGCCTTCATTTGGCCTTCTTTCTATATTTTGGTTCCTTATTTTCCTTTTTCTGAAGAAATTTTAAATTGTTACTCTGTATGGTTGCATTCAGCTACTTGTGAAAAGTTAGAAATATACAGCTGTAGGATTTGATTAAATAAAGGTATAATAGAACACAATGTTGCCATTTAGAAGAATGAGACAGCTCTATATGGAATGATCTAAGATATATAGTTAAAATTTAAAAAGCAAGATCTAGAACATGTATGGTAAGCTACCATTTACATAAATACAAACATATCTATGTTTATACATTGCCTAGCTGTGGAAGGACATTTAAGGAACTGGTAATAGTGGCTGCCTCTGGGGAGAAACTGCTAGAAGATTGGAGGGAGATTCTATATATATCCTATTGTCCTTATTATACAGTATATCATGTTCATGTATTACCTATTCATATTTTTAATAAAGAAGGAGGTAGAGCTATTTTTATTGAGATGGAAAAATACAAAATACATATTGTTAGTACAAAAAGCAGGTTGCAGGATGGTATGAATAGGATGTGATTTTATTTTTGTAAAGTAATTATACATATATACATATATATGTATATACATATATAAACATATGTAAGGATATGCATCAAATTGTTAACAATGGTTCCCCCTAGAGAGTAGTATATGAAAAAGTATGTGTGTGTGTACTTTCATTTTTTTATCCTATGTACTTCTATATTGTCTAAATTTTTTTACACTAATCCAAAATAAATAACTCATAAAACCCAAACCCAACCAAAGAATTTACTTGACTTCTACACATATATAAACAAAATTTCCCAGATCAGCCTTTCTGGTCAGCCATGCTTTGTTTTTTTATATCTCACAAATTCACTTCAGATTGTTTCTTGACCTCTTCTCTGAAATTTGCTGAACTTTGTTTCTTTATCTTTACTCTCCTACATTCATTCTTTTATTAATAGGACCCAGATAAGGTCATGACCAAGAAATCATAGGGTTGTTATAGATAGTTCCTTTCTCAACTTCTTTCCCTTTAAATCAATCTGGACTGATGCAGCTAAAATCCTCCTCATTCCTACTTCAGAGACTTCAACCTGGGTTAAATCTAACTATCTACCTATTTTGAGAAAACTCCTCTGCTTTCTGGATCATTCCTATCAGCTCACAAATGTAGTATAGCTCCAATCTCAAACAAACAACAAAACCAAAGGTTATTGGCTGCTTCCTGCATGCCCCACACTGGGGGATCGAGCCCGCAACCCAGGCATGTGCCCTGACTGGGAATCAAACCTCAACCTCCTGGTTCACAGGTCGATGCTCAACCACTGAGCCATGCCAGCCGGGTGA